CTACCGCTACCGCTACGGCTACTGCTACTGCTACTGCTACTGCTACTGCTACTGCTACTGCTACTGCTACTGCTACTACTACTACTACCACCACCACCACCACCATTTCTACTACCACCAGAACTGCGACGACTACGACGACTACGACGGAGACAGCGACGGCGATTTGTTGCTGCTCCTGCTACTACTGCTGCTACTGCTGCGACCACCACGAGTTGTTGTTGCAGGGGCGAATTTTTGGCAGTAGACCTTCTTCGGCTCCAGCAAGTTGTTCGAAGCCATGTCACAGCAAGGCTTGTAGCGTCCGGCCAAGCTGTCGACATGTTGGTCAAAGAAGTTAATCCAAGCCTCCAGGCGGAAAATCTCAGACCCGCACTTCTTCATGTTCTGGTTCGCTTCGGAAGAGATCGGGGGTGACAGTCACTCGGGGATGGGGCTGGGATGAGCTTCTGTCTGGTGTGGGCTTCAAGAGACTTGGGACTGGGTCTAAGGCTGCTTCGGCTTCCCAAGCGCACATCAGCGCCGGGCCAAGGACGAAACTCCAGAAGCGATCCCATGAGGAGTTCGACCGGAGGAGGTCCGATTTCTGATGTGGAGCTCATATGCTTGTCTGAAGACCCCTAAACCCTGTAAAATGCATCTAAACCCTGCAGGTCAGAAACCCCACATCCCTGACACTCCCCGACAAGAGGAAGCGACACCAAGCACAATGCACACATGTAGCTTGAGCTGCACCTGGCTCATGAACCCGCCGGACTTGATGGTCGGCATAGCACAAAGGCTAGCGATGGCGTTGCTAGAGGGAGCAACATCAACGATGCCTCTGCGCCGTGGTGTTGGGTAATCGTGCTGCGTTTGTGATGGCAGTGGACGTAGCGACCGTTGCAAGTGGTGCTTGTGGTGATGACTCGCTACAACGACATAGGCAGCTTTCGTATTCTTGGTGTCGGCGCTATTGCCATGACCATGGCAATGACAACCACCACAATTGCAATAGCATGGTTGCTTTCTGTAGCATTATCAGCATCGGAGCCTTCACGCGGATGAAGCCTGACCTGGTGTTGCTCCATGGTAGTCCCAGCGCATATGGCAACACGCCGCCTTGTAAGAAGGCCAACGTTCTGGTGGTTCTCAACAAGCTTCCATCTTGACTGAGTACCTCGCGGGTAAGGAGAATGTAAAAGCAACATGGCCTCCTGCCCTGCTAACCCCAACCGCATCGTATGGTCTGGCCATCGAGAGGGTAAGGTTCTCACCCAATTCGTGACACCTGTGACTCCTGTTTCGCCAACACCCGAAATGCAGTTCATGAACTTGAAGGCCCTACTCAACCCTCCAGGCAGTTCTATTTCAATTGGTTCCAGAAGCTCCATCCGGACTCTATGCCCGAGTCACAGTGGCAGGACTTGGTTATGTGCCCTGTGCGAGCGGCTCTTTAATAGGGTTTCGAGACGGTTAGGGATTTGGGATACGAGGATGACCGGCGTGAGCTGGGGTGCAGGTGCTTCGGATTCAGGACGGATTCAGGGGGACTCCGATCGCCGATCTAGTGCATCGGCAAGCCCATTGAGTCTGAAACGATCCGTAGGCCTATGAATGCATCACGTGACAGCTCCTGCTATGAGACTGGTAGCTCGGATGCTGAACTCGCAGGTACCACGTCGAGCCGTACTTCGAAGGAAGGGAGCATCAAATCGAAATTGTTTTTGACGAGGTGCGCGCTGCGAGAGCTTCAGGGTTAGGATTTCGCGTTTACACGAGGGTCAGGACCGTTTCCAGAGCAGACGACATGAAGTTGCGGGCTGCGGGCTGCAGGATTGTACTTTACGATTCATGCCTTTCGGCACCACCCCTGGCCCTGAGTCTGTAACGCCCGTGCGCCCACATGTTGCAGAGCCACGGCGAGCACACCTTGATCGCCGACACCGGAGACCTGATCAAGCACGAGGACCACGAGAAATTACGCCTTTGCGGGGAAGTGTTAGTTACTGCATTCCAGGACATGAGCTATGCCGTGAAATGTAAAAATACGGCAGATCCTTCAGTTGTCCATTTTTATGAAATGGACGATGGAGTTGATTTTTTGAAACATGAATTTGGCAAAGCAGACGGCCTCGAAGCTTTGAAAACCCTAAACCCTCTTCGGATGGGGGGGATGTTCTGAGCTTTCGGGTGCTTGGGAACTTTTTCGGGGTGGGCGGTCCCTAGAAGTCTGATGCGGTCGCAAGCTTTCGGGTTACAGCTTGATTTTCTAGCTTTTTCTCAAACGGGTTGTTTACTTACCTTAAAACTTGAAGGGCCGGCGTTCGCACATTCGCGCTAGAAAGGTTGGAATTCCTGTGCATGATGCCGGCACTCAGCTCTGACGGTGAAGGTCCTGAGTTCGCTACCCCCACAAAGTTTTCCAAGTACAGCATGGCGTGGCTCCCCCCCCATCTGCAATCCAGCTGTTCCAGGACCTACCTTAATTTGGGAATATTTGGGAAGACGCAACAGAGCGAAGACGCAACAGCGCACCTTCTTCTCTGTCGTGAAAGAGCGGTGGGGGCGAACCCAGCTTGTGAGTCAGACGCCCACACAGCAACCTAGCCTAGCCGCATCGGAGCTCAACAGAGCTGGAGCATCCGCTCTCTTCACGGAGCCTTTGTTCGACGGCAGGAGATCCTGACGATGTTTGTGACACCAGGCTCCTTCGAGGTCGGAGGGGAAAGCGAGCGTTTGCGAAGGGTGCAAGGCGACTCGGAGCATTTCGGATCCTAGACAGGACTTCGGGTCTTGTGTTTGCGGCTCTAGACTGTGCTTCAACGTTAGTGCCGGCCCTTTTCTCTTTTGTGACAGTTGCATCTGCAGCCGGCAGTGTTAGCATCAGTTTCTCTTCGTGTAGCCCTCGATTGGGCTCTTGGCCCCGGTTCAGCTCCTCTGGCGGAATGGCGTCCGCCCGGGACACAGCTCCATGACTGACACCGTGCCGGTCGTAGTGCTGAACTTGACAGGTGAGATTTTGCTTGAGTGGGTAGCAGAAAGAGGCACCTCTTTGTCGAAGCTGGCTAAAAAAGTCAAGGAGCGGAAGCCCCAGAGGAGGTCGCAAAGTGTTAAGTTCACCTGCAATGGAGAACTCCTGGCCGGAAGCAGCAAGCTCGCAGATGTTCCGGTCACAGGCCGACACGTGGAACTTACAGCCATCATAGGGGAAATGTCCCTGGCTGATGTTATGTACGAGTGTAATGTGGCCTTCATGGAGAGCGATGGCCTGGAATTGGCTGAGGAAGATGTCATACTGGAGGGGTTGGACAGCTTCAGCAATATACTGCTGCAGTCAGTCCTACAGGAGCACTTCGATGTGAAGTTGCCACCAGGGTTTCTTTATGAGTTCGCCACTTTGAGGGCAGCGTCTGAGCACATTTTCGGGATTCTCCAGCGCGAGCACCCGCAGTATCCATAGCTAGGCCTTTGTTTCGCCGCTGGGCGGCCAAGCTTCTCCTGTGCGCTTTCGCGGACACATGGCCACAACGTATGGATGGTCATGGGGGCGGTCGCCTTCTTCCTGGTCCTGGATCAGCATGCATGAAACCGGGAAGCGCGATCGGCATGCTGTTTTGCTGGCAGGGTTTCACCCATGACCGTTCAATGCCTTCGCATGTGCCTCTTGTGGCTGCGGGGCTTCTGAGAGTCGGTGAAAGGTGGAACTGGTGGATCCTACACGGTGTGCTGAACAAAGAGCAGCTGTTGGGTCCAACCTCGTCTGAGGCTTGCTGAGGCTTTCTGAACTAAACAGGAATCCGCCTAAAGCATGTTGATTTGGACATTGAGACCCCATGCACGCTGCAAAGAACCTGGTGTTGCGTTCGTGCCACATTGAAGCCCAAGCTCGACAGAGGAAGCCAGGATTGTGGTTTGCTTTTCTCCGAGCGTCGATGAGAGGCCCAAGGCCCAATTCGCTTAAATCCCGATTTCCGGGCCGGCAGGTGCCAAATGAATGGACCCATACGATCACCAAGAAGCTCCATGAGCTGGGCTACAAGAACCAGGCCAGGGAACGGCCGCTCGATCCTGCAAAATTCAGGACTGTCGGGCTTGTATCCTCTTAGATTGCTCTTGAGTTTTTTCTTGTGGTAGTTGCGCGCATCCTGGAACAGTACCCTACGCGAAAATCCTAAACACCAAAGCCCTAAGCCCGAACACAAAAGGAACGCCCTAACCCTAAGCTGGCTCAAGAACAGCTGCCCTGCGGCGAGAGGCGATCGACCTCGAGTTCATCTTCACCAAGGACCCGAAGGTTAAGAAAAGGGTGGATTGTTAACATCAGGATCTGCAAAGATAGGAACCATCTCCTATATACTCCCTGTAAAACAGGAAGGGGATTTGCCGCTGGGTTTATGAGCTTTGTGATTTTGGTGTGAAAGGGGTGTTTGAAGTGTTTCGACTTGTGTTGAAAGGAGATTGCCAATGCAGGGGTCTGAACAGTGAGAAGGCTTGCATCTCGTGGTGTGAAGATTGGGCTCGGACTCCGGACCGAGCCTTATCCTTTTGGATTTAGGACTTTCTATCTTTCTATAGCTTTATGGTTCAAGCTTTAGTGCAAGGCTGCACGATCCGAAAGCCCAAACTGCACGTGTGATTCACAGTGCCAGGATGGACCGCAGCTGGTTGAGATCAACAGCCGCTACAGCTACATGGGCTATTGGTCGTGGTGCCCTGCAGAAATGACTTGTGGGCTTCAGGGTTCAAGATGGGGAATCTGGCATCTGTCGCAGAAACTCGACAACTGGCATACCTTCAGAGGAAGTTTCAGTGCGGCTGCAGGTGGCGGACAGCTCTGATGAAGGGGATATTGTGTTGATGCTGGTCACGACGCAGTCTCCTTGACCCACGACCTTCCATAAGATGCCAGGTACACGCAAGTGTCGCAGAAGTGCACGCTGATGCACCAGCCCGATGCACCTTGGCTTCCAAGAAGGTGCTGATGTGCGGCCAGCTCGAAGAAGCAGAGCGAATGCGGTATAGATCCCTCGGTCTCGGCAGTCATTTTCATGGGTTTTGGGTCTCGTGCTAAGGCCCGAGACGATCAACAGAACATACCAACGAAGAAAGCATGACCTTGCAATTCAGACCTATCCTCAAGCTCCAAACCCTGAAGAGCCCTAATCCTGAAACCCTTACTCCAGACTGCCCCCGACTTCCATGACCATCCTCCAAACAGTCTGCAATCCCCATCCCAATATTCTAATTCTTTCTGGAGCGGTATGGTTTGGGACTCTACACGGGTTTTTCAAGAGCCGCAAACCCCAAGCGTTGCTCGCAATATAGATGCCTGATGAATAAACCCTCTGGCTTGCAAGGCTCTACCATTGCAATCCCTATTATCTTCCTTATTCAGGGAGTCGATTTGGGCCGGAAGCTCAACTCTTAACCTCGTCTTGAGGGGATGCTGCCTGGGATCCCAGGTGCGGAACCTTGAGAACCGGACTTGCTCCTGCCTTTCGACTTGGTCACAGATATGGGGGGTGGGGATGCGACGGCTCAGGGTTTAAAGTCTAAAGTCAGGGATCCCAGTGTAGAATTCACATGGAGTCTTGAATACTCGAGCCTAGACTTGGGATTCGGGACGGTGGCCATCCATTTGCTGAACACATTATTCTGAAGTTCCTCCGTGTTGGAGACTTGACTTGCCAAGAATCCTTAACTTGGCGCGCACGGGTAGTCGTGAAGCCAAGAGCAGCACCGGAAGTGTGTCGCCATGAGGAAGACTCCGCCCAGTCATTGATAACTTCCAGTTTGAAGCTTGAAGGTCTACGTTGGGATGCAGCCGTTTACTGCGACTGAAGGTTGAGAAGCCGTCACGAACGCCGAACTGTCTGCTCCGCAAGGCCTCGGCATGAAGGTCCCGAAGTTCCCTTCGGATACGACGCCGGCCCGCAAGTTTCGGTTTGTGGCTTTTGGCTTCTGCGGGGTAATGCGCATGAGCTTCATGGTTCGGACAGAGAGATTGCTACGCTTCTAAGCTTGCGTCTTTTATGAGTTGAGCGTTGTTGAAAGTTGGAGGTCATAGCAATGGGGTCCATGAAGAGCCTTTCTCAATCTGCTGTTGCCAAATCAACCATGTATTGACGAAGGCTCCACCCAAGCTCGATTGGAGGTCTTGGACTTCGTGTCAAGCTGTGACAGTGTACCGAAGCTCAGGAACATTGTCTCCAAATTGGCAGTGGCTGTGCATCTGGGATGTGATTTAGGCTTTGTCAGCCCTAAACCTCGTAACACCTTCTGCACTGTGAGCAACTCATCGGGTGGGGCCTTCGTGTCTGCTTCTCAGGTCGGATGCAGATATGGAGTTTGAGGGTGGAGAGGAGGTCGTGTAAAGCCTGCCAGCAGCGTCAGGTACACCAACAAGACGGGGAAGTTGGACACGATCGTCAACACAAATTTTTTAGACAAGTTCCTGGAGGACAGCAAACAGTTCGTGTCATGGACTATACCCTCCCTAGTCCGAGCTCGCGCTCGCAAGCGCAAGGGCAACACCCCCCGAACAGGCCCCGAACCCTCAAGCGGGGCGCGACAAGCGTAATTTAACAAATGCCCCAAAACACAGAAGGATCTTTCCACGTGGCTCCACGAACCCTCTCAAGCCACACGACCAAGAGAAAATCAAGGCTTTTCCGACAACCAACCTTTCGTAGGAACGATTCACGAGGCGAGTTCCTATGCTAACATGAGAAGGAGCCTACATCCCCGCTTCTTCTGAGGACGGCAACGCGGAGTGCTGGATCCCCAAGCCTGCGTCGCTTGGAGACGCGGGAAGTTCCTTAGGTTTCAGAGCCATGTGGAGAACAGCTTCTTCAATACCGGCCATGTTGTCAGTGCGGTCCTTGTCTTATCTACCTGGCTAATGCAAGCAAAAAACCTGTTCCTGAAGTCTAAGCAGCAGCCCCCAAAACCCATGCCATACTACCGAATCCGGAAATCCCTCGAGAAGCAGATTCAGAGTGTGGGCGCTGGCTTCACAGTTTCTCGGGGTTGTCTGAAGTCCCTGAAGTTCCCATGCTTTTGGTGTCCAGAGTTTCTATTGCTGGTGCAACCGGATCTGAGTACGGTGACTTGATGTGTACTCGGGCTTCATGGCCATCCACATGTTGTAGCAAATTATGCGTCGCCACCAGAGTCTATTTCAATTGTGAGGAGGCCTCCTAAAAACATGATTGGATTGACGTTTGTATGCCTCGAATTCGCTGCCTTGAAGGTTCAAAGCCGGCTTCATCGGCCCAGAGGAGCTGGAATACGGCGGCGGCAAGTGGGCCAAACTGGGGCCTCGCGGCCGCAAGCGGACAACAGTCAAGCTGTCCTTGGGGGGAAGGACTTAACTTAAGGCAATTCAATGTGCTGGGATGGTTTTGGTAGTTCCTTGGAGTTGCAAGTCTTAATTAAGGTCCGAGGATTCAGGGTTGAGGTAGTTTACGGCTCTGGGCACTGTCATGGACGAATCCCATCCTAACCACAGCCCCGCTAGGTTGAAGGTTTGGAGTTTGGGGTTGATTTGGGGTTTAGGGGTTGGTGGGCCCGTGCAAACAGCGCCCGCGACAAAGAAGCCGAGGTTCATGATGCTCACGGCCAAGCGGACGGTGACTGAGCAGAATCTGGCAATTGCGTTTAGGAAACCTGTTGACGCGTGCAAGAGAGCCTGACCAGAACCCCCATCAAGCTGCGGCAAGTGGTTTCAAGCGTGAAACCACAAATCAAGCCCAGCAAAGAATGCACTCTGCGATCGGGGCACAACCGTTGCAGGCTGCTGGTTTTGCGAACCTTTGATGTTTTTTGCCTGTCCGAAAATACGGCTTGGGTTCAACATAGCTGTTGAATTCACAAACCCACGAGCCCTTTTGCACCACATCCAGGAAATCAATACCCGAAAAGCCTGCTACCCTGCCCTGCCCAGGATTTTGCCGCTACAAACACCAAGCTCGTCGAAATGTTTCAGGCTGGACGAGGAAGCCCATGTCTAAACTTACTGGCCATGCTAGAAGATCTGCAAACAGCTGACTCAGCGCACGGCGTCAGGCTCTGTACGCATTCAAGTTTATGCCGTATGCCTGATCATCATGACCGTCAGCATTGAGTCATTTTTCAATATCACCGACATCACTATTGACATCATCCTAATGCCCATCACTGCCCATCTCCGTCCTGATCGTCATTGTCTTCATTGTCATCGTCCTCCAACAGTAGCTACAACGAAGCCGACGACAGGTACTTCTCCAGTGGCCTGTACTTCTATACGTTGCTGCTGCTGCTGCTGCTGCTTCTGCTGCTGCTGCAGCTGCTGAATCTGCGCCGCTGCCGCGACGACGACGACGACGACGGCGAGGACCGCCCACGACGACCACGAAAGGACGATGCGGGCGACAACGAGCACGACTCCTACCACCGCAACGAATGCGAAAACATGACGGAAGAGCGTCCACGACGCCTTCAGCGAATCCTGCGTGACAGCGACGTCGAGCACTTCCATAATTACCCCTGGGGAGTCATGCGATTTTCATCGCTTCCTTGGCAGTATCAGAGTACCAGTAGTTACAACCATAACATCAAGACATAACTCCATCAGAGTGTGAATGACAAAAGTATTCGCAGTAGGGGTAGCTAGGAATGCAAGGAGGCAACACAGCCAGCGGCCCCCATGACGGCAAGAACGACAACGACAACGGCAGAAACCGCCGCAGCAGCAGCAGCAGCGGCAAGAATAATAAAGAGTAAAAGGAGCAGCATCTGCAGCACCAGCAACAGCAGCTGCAACTGCAAGCGCAAGTGCTGTTGCTTCTGCTGCTGCGGCTACTGTTCCGCCAGTGATGTTACGTTTACTACTACTGCTGCAACTCCTACGTACATTAGGAGCATCAAGAGCAGCATTGATGCTACATATCTGTATAGTATTGGTTGAGCCAGCCATGATCGCCATTCAACAAAGATCAGTACGACATGATGTCGTGAGGATGCTTCTAGCGAGAAAAGTGGAATTGTGGTGATCATCAGCAGCATAATCGTCTGATTGTCATAAAAGCCGCCATCACTACCACTATCACTCTGACGGACGGTACATGTGGCAGTCTTGTCTCGCTACCGGGGCCTCGTGCATCTGCGCATTTTGTGCAGGGAATGTTCGTGGAGCCAGATTCGTACTTGCTGACCCAGGACGACAAGCAGATGATACCATGCTGCTTTAAGGGAAGGAAGCAGATGCTTCTTGAGATGCTTCGGATTCCGGCACTGATTACTGGTAGTATTGAGTAGTAACAGTAGTGGTCGTTGGTGGTGGTGGTGGTGGTGGTGGTAGTAGTTGCAGCAGCCGCAGCAGCAGCAGCAGCAGTGGTAGTGTTAGTGGCAGTGGTCGTGGTCGTGGCAGTGGAAGTGGTCGTGGTAGTCGGAGTAGTCGTTGTAGTCGTAATTGGTGGTGGTAGCCGTAGTAGTAGCAGTTGTAGTAGGAATAGGAATATAGGAGTAGGCCAGGAGCAGGCGCAGGAGCAGGAGTAGAAGTGGGAGTCATTAGGGGCAAAAGAGTAGGAAAAGAAGGCTCTCCTCCCCCGCAGTTGCAGGATGACGAGATGGGCTACGCAGTGCAAAAGACCGCCCCTTTCGCTGCAGCTGCGGTCCGAAACGGTTCAGGGTGTTGGATTATATGAGCAATGATCTGTCAGGAGAGCCTAGGAAGTAGGGTGGTTTAGGAGAACTTGCATTGGTTGGATGTTTCGACAGCCAAGGCCATCGACTTCTGAGCCAGACAGGCAGCAGAGCAAAGACACGGGAAGGTCACCCCAAGATCCCGATGGTCCGTCGGTTGGCGGGATCTTAAGGAGTTGAGATTGAGGTTGAGGGCTTAACGGCTGAGTTTAGCTTCTAGAGTAGTCTAGAGGTTCCCAAACCGAATCAATGTACGGTTGTGGCATTGTTCATTTCGAAATGCCATGATTTGGTTGGCAGATGTTGCATCGCCTGCATAGGCCCTTGTGACGCAGCTCAGCTTTCGTCCAGGGGCTCTTTTGCACAGATCGTCGCAGCTCGCGTCGGTTCTCGGCAGATTACTGGGCCCGCGCTGTCTTAGCAACAGTCAAGCTCACTAAGAGCGATAATTAATTATGAAGGATGACGCTCACAACAGTAAGTAGTGGCAGTCGAAAACTTCACACTTGCGAGGCTTCGGGCACTTGGTCGAAATAAGAGCATCCTGGCCGTCATCATCGTCATCGCTAAACTAGCAGCTGTCACAGCAGTAAACTAAGCACAACAAGGACCACACTTAAACACAAACTTCGGTAACTACATCTACCTACCAACACAGTGAGAATCCGAGCATGCCGCATTTCCTATCCTCCAACAGATTCATGCCTTGCACCACATGCGGATTCCACTAAACTGGTGACCACTGCGAGCATGCGCTCACGAGTAGCTTAGGATCGCTCAAAGCGTTGTGCTGCTCTCGAGCGTGTTCACGCCTAGCAGCTTTTCCATCATCCACACGCGACACCCCGGATCCGAAAGTTCTGAGCCCTGAACATTACATACTCAGACATCAGGCGTTGTCTTTGCCGTCCTACAGTGCGTTGTGCCTAGAGGCCATTGTGTAGACGTAGACATAGAGTGCCATAGACAGGCAATTTCATTGCAGCCCAGGCACAAATCTGCAACAACGGAAGCACACTTACCACTGGGTTCCAAGCAGGCCCAAACACGCATCAAAAGCTGCCAGAAGAAGGCGCAGGCTACGTCGTCTTTGGCGTATGTACTCATATGTGGTAATACAAGACTATAAACAGCTTCTGTTCTCCCTGACTTCGTTGAAAATCATGATATCTGTATTTTTCTGGCGCCACACTTGCAACTCCGCTGAGGACTCTGGCAGAGCGAAAATTTGTGTCTGCCTGTCCCCTTGCACATGCAAAGACGTATCCCCTGACCCTACTTGAACCCCAAAGCCCCGCAACCCTGCATCAACACCGGGGCTTTGTCGTGGACTCGTGGACACCTTTTGCCGTGCCCCTCGCATCCATAGACTGTTGAGGGGCCAGCCGAAATGGAGCACCGAGAAAGTCCCTGCTTTCAACAGCTGAGCTGGCTTAGGGTTTAGGGCTTGAGGGGAAGTCTGGTCAACATAATGCGTGTTGCTCGCCTTGTAAGAAAACGGAGTTGCTCTTAATTGTACCTCTGAAACAGGAGGACGCTGACTGTTGAAGTCTCTACTCCTGAGAGTGGCCGACAAAATTACTAACATAGTCGTGATTGGGCATGTTACCCAGTCCTGTTCAATTTGTCGTGAAGCCCTGTTACTGCTATCAGTACTATGCTTACAACCCATGCTGTCGTGTTGCTCAAGCTGCCGGTGCTCTTGTAGTTGCTGTCGTCGCCCCAAAGCAGCAAATCCGAACATCTCCAGCTTTAATTAAGCCCAAAAACCCACAGAGCCCAAAACTCTCTCTGGGATTTCCTCCTTCGTCTGTGCTCCAGACATGGGACCGAATTCGGCCAAGCCGAAGCCCGCAGCACTTGCGAGGAAAAAAACTCGGCCTGCCGAATGCAACTTAATCCAACAGGAGAGGAAGAGTAGTTAGACGGAGCAACCAGGTTGAAGCTGCCGTTTCAAATAGTGAGACTCGTTCTGTTCTTCAACCTCGTGGTGCAGTAAACACAGGAGCAGCAGCTGGCGTAGTTGCAGTTGTCATAGCAGCAGTGGTGGTAGTCGTCAGAATAGCAGAAGCAGCAGCGGGACTAGAACGAGGAGTAGTAGTAGTGGTCGTCGCCGTCGTCGTAGTAGCGCATCAACTACTAGCAGCAGCAGCAGCAGCAGCAGCAATAGCCGTACTACAACTGCAACTGCTACTACCATCAGATTATCACTACTGCTATTGCTGCTGCTGTGCACTGCTGCTACTACTGCTACTCCTACTACTCCTACTCCTACTCCTACTCCTACTCCTACTACTACTACTACTACTACTACTCCTACTCCTACTCTTACTCCTACCCGCCACCATAGCTCCCTGTTTCCGTGCTTTTTTGCAGCCAAGCTGTCGATGAGCATCTGTTTTCGTGCACAGCTCGCCCCCAGACCTGTTCAGATGCCTCCTTTCACTACTCCTATCCCTACTCTTACTATGCCCTAAACCCGAAACCGACTACATTCCAATGATTTCGGACGTGACCTCGAGGCGATGCTTCAGCAGTTGCTTGAAGACACCATCACCTTCAAGTGCTACCAGTATGCGATATGATTTTCCCGGGCATGAAGACTTGGATTCGGGCTCTAAGCGCCCAGAACTCCTTAAGGGATGACTGGCCCAGAGCGCGAATGTTTTCAATGAACGTTGGTCTTGCAGATGGAGTTGACAGTTGGCCGACTGCCTACCCTGGAAGCACGTGCTGGATCAAAGGAAGTCAGTAATTCGGCACGTCTCCAGGCAGTGTTTGACACCAATTAATAATAGCCTCACAGTTGTTCGGCTCGGTGAAGTCGTCCACTGGTTTTCCGAACGGACAGCATATTTCCAGCATCCGCATCTGGTTTCTTTTCATGGTGCCTAATGACCGAAGTCTGCAGTGTCGGAAGGTTTCTTCGGGCCGGCGTAGAAGCTATGCGATTTGGCCAGCTTGCAAGCGTCAAGCCTGAAAGCTGTATGCCCGGCTACAAAACGATTGTGAAGGCGTTCATGTGTGTACTTGACTGCACTGGACAACAGGTGATAGGAATCCTGAGCATGTCGTCATACTTCGTTCGAGTTTTGGACATGAGTTCTGAGCTAGGTCTCTAAATGCACCCTGTCATGTCGAGAATGTAAGACATTGCAGTGACTCTCTGGAGGTTCTTGTGAAGAACACCTGGTAGGATGCGTGTCCAGTCAGTTGTTGGACCAGACGGCATATATGTAGTTCTCACTAGATTCACTAGATATTGTTAAACCCAAACCGTACGTATGATTTATCTTTCGGCTAGTCCGGAGCCTGGATTTTGCAGTGATGAGCCTTAGTCCACCATGTAAACTCAGCCGAAACAGTTTCCTTGACTTGCAACGTCTCCTGCACTTCTGTTGTTCATTTAGTTGTTTGGATGTCGCAGGCAAGGAAGCCAGTAAATTGTATCACGCTGACCCTCGACTATGGAACCTCGCCTGGCTTGTCCGAGTTGTGAGAGTGTAAACCCTACGTATCCCTACAGACTCTAAGCTCAGCCTTCGCCGCAGCCACAGAACAAAGAGCTGCTCTCGGGTAGTGTGCACCCGTAGCTTCCTGACATGATGGCCTAGCTGGAACTTGGCGGCTGTCCCAGCGTGAGCAAGTTTGTGCAACATCTGTATGCAGACGTGCAGGGGCAGCTGAAGGTTTATTGAAGCATGAATATGGAGAAAGATGGACAGACAGACAGACAGACCGACAGACAGACAGACAGATAGACAGGTAGGCACATAGACAGATCGATAGACGGATAGACAGATTCACAGATATACAGATTGGCAGATAGACATGTGCGTATGTAAAGCTCTTTCAGGTCATAGCACTCTCCGAAACGAAACTTTCCGGAACCCGGGAGAGGGGGGCAGCACGTCGTGCGCAGGGGTGGGCAAGGAACATAGTAGGGGAGGCAGGTGCAAGGGACATACCTACACATTTGTGCCGCCTGGGCATCATGCTCTGCTTCGGATCGCAACCTCTGTGTAAGACGCCCTACGATGCGTAGGGCAAGCCAACTCTTGGCATCATCACCGTCTATCATCATCGTCATTTGTTTCTTCCTTTTGTCGGGTATTGCATGGCCCATCGATAGGTACTCCTTGCCCTTTGTGCTTTCGCCCGTTGCTGTTTGTGAGTTGGGGTCTGTCGTGCTGTCTTGAGTCTTGGGCTGGCACCCTAGTTAAAACTGAACATGTTATAGCACACTGTAGCCTGTTATAGTATATTATAGTATGTCACAATATGCCGTTCTGCTGGGGGCGAAACGCTTCGCGAGGTCGGGCTCTTGCCCGGGTCCATCCGCGCTTCACAACGTCTGGGAGAAAGAGAGATTGGCCATGCAAATACCCAATGCCAACATTCAATGACATGTGATAGTAACAGTAATAGAAAGAGCAATGGTGCTGTTTGCTGGGGTTTTCCATGCTTCTGTCAGGTGGATACCCACATGGCCTTCTCCTCAGTTACTTGCCCAAGCAGTTCCTTTGCTGCCGGGGGTATCGGGGTGTTCTTGCATTTGCTCCGTTCTGGTGTCATGGGGTCGTCGGCTGCAGGCAGTATTGCGTCACTGTGGTGAGGTTGAAGGATTTGAATGTGTTTCAACGCTTGCACGTTATTCGCTTTGCTGAGAATGCAAGTATTGAAACGATAACTAGATCTAGTCGTCTCCTCATTGCAGTTTTGCTCCGGCCAGTGGCTGCACCCTGCCGGTAGCCAGACTTCTAGAGACTCGCCCTGACTCAACCCGCCCCTCCCAATCACCTGCCGATCTGTCCTCGTTTCAAAAATCTCGTGAAAGGATGTTCGGCCTGCGGCTGGGCACTAGTAGCAACAAATTCAGTCGCTTGCCAGTGAATGCCGCAAATAGCCTGTAGAGTTACAGAAACGTTTTCGAGTACATGTTCGTGCTTGAGAGTGGATAGGTCGCGAAACGATTGCCTCTAGTGTAAGCGTATGTATGTATTTATGTATGCATGTGTGTGTGTGTGTGTTTGTGTGTCGTGTCGTGTCGTGTCGTGTCCCGTCCCGTGCCGTCCTGTCCTGTCCTGTCCTGCCGTTCTGGATGGATGGGTGGACGGATGTATGTATGTATGTATGTATGTATGTATGTATGTATCGCCTGAGCTTCGAGAGCGAGTGCTAACAAATGTATGTATGAATGTATGCAAGGTAAGGCAAGGCAAGGCAAGGCAAGGCAAGGCAAGGCAAGGCAAGTATGTATGTATGCATGCATGTATGTATGTATGTATGTATGTATGTATGCATGTATGCGTGCATGTATGTTTTGGATGCATGGATGGATCAATGCACAAATGCATGTATGCAATGCATCGTGTGTGGTATGCAAGGTATGTATTGTGTATGGCATATTGTGTAACGCTATGGTGTGGTATGACATGGGATGGGATAGGATGTATGCTATGTACTGTGTGATGGTTTTGTATGGTCTGCTCTGGTTTGGCATGATGGGTACGTATTGCACGCGTTTCTTGTATGGTATGCAGCGTGTGCAATGTATGAAATGCACATATGGATGGATGGATGGATCAAATGAAGACATGACAAGACAAGACATATCGTAATAGCCTACATGCGTGCAGGTGCACAATCACATTTGTGATTCAGTATATCCGGCTCTAAAAAATGGATGTATGTCAAAGTGTGTTTGTGTATGTCTCTTTTCTGTGGAAGCCCTGAGCTTGCCGCAAACATCCCTAAGTTAAGTTCACTCCTGACGGCTCAGAACTAAAATGCCCTAAACAAAAGCAACAATGGGAAGAACATGAATACTCCGCTTGCAAGGGCACGTGCCCTGCATTGATTCGATTCGGTGGAAGTTGTTGCGTGCCCGCAGCCTCTGGTCTAAGACACTCGAAAAGGTGCTCTTTGAGAGACCAAAGCCTCCCTCTCGTTCTGCACATCGTCATGAGCGGATTTGGGCAGTGTCGTTTCTGCTCCGAGAATCCCTTCGCCGTACTCTTCGGCAACTTAGCTGCAAATGTGACTGCATCCCATGATTTCCACGGTACGTGTAGCTAAATGCCGGTCAATCTTTGCAAGACAAGGATCGAAGCCAGAAGAGAAGAAGACAAGGGTGCAGGCCAGCGCGACCAGAGTTATGATTGTTCTATTATTAGGACTATTGCTGTTATTACCACTACCTTTATTCATGTGATTGCGATTTGTATTGCGATTACTATCACTACGTTTTTTGCTACTTTGCACTGGTGCGCTTGCCAAGCATAAGTCCAGTGCAAGCAACGATCATTATCCGCGATCATTATTACCATTATTCTTACTCTGATTGTTACTACTTGTTTTAATGTTATTCTCATTATTGCCATTCTGATTTTGTTAGATACTTGGCCTTGCGTTGAAGGTCGCTCCGAAGGCGAAGACTCCTTCCAAGAGAAACGAGGCAAACTTCCAGCGACGATCAGAGGAAGAAGTCAAGGTACCAGCCTTGGCTTTTGCCTTTTGGTCTTACAAGCGGTTTAAGTTTCAACACCAATAAACGGACAAGAATAGTACACATAGTAACACAATATCAGGGATCATTGCGTGGCCTGCTTTCGGCTTTATTACACGTCTCATGCATTTCACTTGGGTTTGACTCGCGCTGTCCCTAACCTGATCAGTTGGCAGATACGTGGCATCCTGCCGCATGCTCCTGCCAGGAGACAGTGGCGCGTTGGGAGATGTACGTCCATCCCCGCGCCAAGGTGCAACAGCCTTGCCATCGGAGGTTAATTCCGAGAACACAAGCAGAAACATAGACGATGATAGATGTCAATACAGACCATGTGCAACACAGGCAACGAGCATACACTGGCATATGCACACAAGCTCCTTCACATGCAGTCTTATGCATGTGTTGACCTAACTATGGCGGCACGTGTTTGTGTATGCCCATGCACGGGTTGGCAGATCAACATAGCAGAGCAACGTAAGCATGATTACGCATGCATGCGATGGTGCAGACGTGTATGCGTGCAGTCTGATCCGAGACTTCGAAACAGACGCAGACACATGGTCGCTTGGTCTCTTTCTCTCTTTGTCTTTGGCTCGCTTTTTCCACTGGCTTTTCCTTTCACAGTCTGGTGGGTCTGCACAGGCGATTTCCAACTGTCATGGCCAGGAACCAGGAACAAGCATAGTGTTTCGCATCCGGCCTTGTGTCACGTAGCTTGCATAGTGAGTCTCATGCCTCGTGCTGCTGAACGCCTCACTGCCGACAACGCGTGGTTCTACTTCAGCTGGCACCTCAATGGGGCAAAACTGTGGGCCTGTGGCGAAACAATTGAAGTTTGCCTCAAACCCTCGAGCCCGTGGCAGGAGACTCAGACTGACTTACAGCGTTGCCAGGAGTTCTTCTCAGATGCGAAGCAGCTGGAGGAGGTGCTCTCCCAGCTGGCCAAGGTGGCACAGTGTTCCAGTAGCAGTAACATATCAGACGTGTGCCGGGGTGCGTCTAGTCAGCAGGGCTGGGACTGTCGCATTACGGTTAGCGAAATTAAGAGTCGCCGAAATAGTGGCGAGGGCGGCAAAACGCAAGTAATCGTCATCTTCGCAGCAGGGTCATCACCTCATGCAGTTGTTGAAACGCATGAGACAAGCAGTTGGGCGAAGGCTGTCATGATTGCCATGCAGACGTTAGTTATTTTTGCGAATGTGTGTGAGGGTGTGTACCTGTCTTCGGACACTCTCTATGCCTGTACATCTGCATATAAGGTGTGCATATATATATATAATATAAAGATAAGCATAAATATAAATATGTATATGTATGTGTATATGTCACAAAAACATGGGCCTGTCATGGGTCGTATCCTCCAGAAATACATATTTTATAGACACACACACACATGTACACAAGTACACGTAGTGGTGGGGCGTGCCCAGACAAAGCTACATACGCACTGCGCGCATCTACGCACAGCATTTACAGGCATATGAGCTACTACATGAACGGTTTCATTGTTGGTACCATGCAGCTCCCCAACCTGCTGCAATACAGCTGAGTAGACTCAGCAGGCAGCGTGTCAGCCTATTGGCGAACGTTTGCAACTGTGCAATCGAATGCCTCGTGCATGCGCGGCAGTTGCTTGAAACCTTCGTCGTGAAACTCAATGCTCACTTGCGCGGCAGGGCACTGACAGGAACGCCGACCCCGTGCTTGGTTCCGACAAGGAGTGCGTGTTTCTTGGCCGGCATTTTGCTAGGGCATGCGTGGACCCGGAAAGTATGTAAAATAATAGCCTTTTATGGGTCTTGGGCCATTATTTTACTTACTTTTGGAGGTGTAGGTGCAGCATTTAGATGGGGCCCATCTGAACATAACCAGTAGCATGGACACTGATCCGTGGCTTCAGCTCACCCTTTAGTTCAGCTCGCACGAGCACGTCGCGATCAGCATTTTCCGCCATTCAGCAGATTGTGAGGCACTGGTATGGCGACGTGACGAAGGACGAGCTCCAAGCCGCCATCCGCATGGTGAAACCAGGTGGAGCTCACGGCAGTATTTCCTACATGTACAGTGCTTTTTCCTTTGTGTGTGTGTGTGCACAAACAGATACCGATCGGTCTGTTTGTCTGTCTGTCTGTCTGTCTGTCCATCTATTTGCCGAGCTGCTTTTCTGACTTTTATGCCCAGTGTCTCGCCTCCTGCATCTCACTGAGGGGAAGCAAGAGACGAAGCAGGGGCAACACACACATAGATCGGTGGACCAAAGCTGCACCGCTCAAACCATCTGCATGCACTGAACAAGCTGGAGCCTTGTGTCACTCTCACAGTTGCGTGCTTGTACACACACACACATTCACGTGACCACGTGCTTGCATCAGACTTATACTTGTATGTTACTATATGTGTACATGCTTGTGCTCGTATAGGAGCGAATGTGTGGTTCTGTCCGTCGTGTCGTGGGGGGTCAGTCCGCTGGTATGGCCAAACACACACACACACACTCTCTCTTTATGTCTATCTCTATCTCTCTCTCTCTTTCTCTCTGCCTCTCTCTCTCCATATTTATTATATTGTATTGTATTATATTATACTATATTATACCATATTATGTTATATTATACTGTATTATATTATATTGTATTGTATTAAGTTGTATTGTATTGTATTGCATTGTATTATATTATATTAATATTATATTCATCTTAATATAAGTATTAATATTAATATTTCTATTCTATTCTATTCTATTCTATTCTATTCTATTCTATTCTATTCTATTATATATAATGTATATACTATGTAATATATATTCATAGATATATCGGTGTATGTATGTATGTATGTATGTATGTATGTATGTACACACACACACATATATATATATAATACATATACAGATACATACATGTGCGCATATGTGTCTGTCTGTATATACGTATTTATACAGCGGGACAGACACACTTTTGTGCAAGCATAATCAAGGCTCACGACGAACAAACCGAGTCCGTGCCATTCACGAACAAAGACAAATCGACAGATCATCCGCCTTGGCCTGCAGCCATGAAATCGTAACTTCACATGGCTTCGTATGCTGTTTTACAGATCGCAGCCGTTGCAGAGAGTCGTGAGGTGAGTCGTCCGAGTCCATCACCTACGTGAACCGCGTTTTGGCCTTTCTGCTCGCCGGCAAGAATTCGGTCGTACCATATCGAAATCTACTGTAAGTACCACCTCCCCCCATCTCCCCGCAACATTTACCGACCACCGCCTAGGCCTTTTGTGGCCAAAGCTTCTGTCGGATCAAGGTCGAGGATCTAAACAATCTAACGATGTAGATTGCATCAACTCGGACATCTCGACATGGAGCCCAAAGCTGCAAGGTTTGCCACCGACGAGTCCTTTGAAAAGCTCATGCAGCTTCCGAAAGAGCCTTTCAGAATGTCCTGCGGTGATCAACTCTGTGCCTCAGTTGCCTTTTGTTCCACGTCATTGCGCCCGAACTTGTAACATCCCTACCATATATTTCTCGTCCAGAAACTGCAGAAACACCGGGCATGGTCTATTTCCCACAGTGGATCTGAATTTAGTCTTCTTGGATGCACCCAGTCACCCTTGCAGACTTCAGAGCCACAGGCGTGAACCTCGCCCACATCTCGGTCTCAACTTGCTGAGCTTTCGCCTCACGCAATTGGCAGCAACAGAAGATGGCCCATGTCACGATTGCATCGTGGCGTATTACTAAGTGAGAGTTGAGCTTACATCAGTCGTCTCTTGCAGCCTTCCACAAAGAAAGATGCCTTAGCTTCGCTATTCACGCAGTGCTTTCATTCAGTTGGATGGCTGCCCCCCTGTAGAAGATGAGAAGCCGTTGCTTTGACAACGCTTGGGCCACATGTTCCGGTCTGTCTCAAATTCGGATTCAGTTTTGCGGGAGGAGCTGCTCAGTACCTCTGCGAGCCAAAAAGCCGCCAGCGCACGCAAGCTGTTATCGGCGTCATTATAACGTTTTGGTGAAACCGTATATACATAGAACACACACACACATATATATATATGTATATACATACACACACACATACATACATACATCCATACATACATACGTACATACATACATACATACATGCATACATGTAGTGTATGTATAAACGCATACACTGTGTACTGGTAGTTACACACTCTCTGTCTCTATGCATAAATATGTGTATGCATACAGTATGCATGTAATGTATTTATGTATGCATGTATGTATGTATGTATGTACGTATGTATGTATCTATGTATGTATGTATGTATGTATGTATGTATCTATGTATGTTTGTATCTATGTGTCTATGTATGTATGTATGTATGTATGTATGTACGTATGTATGTATATGATGGAGTGGAGCGCATGAAGCCCCGTACTCTAAGCTAGTGGCCAAGCCTCAAAGCGCAAAGCCAAGTGGCTTCGAAAGCCAGCGCGGGCTCTTGCCAAGGGTGCTGCGACCTGTTGCTATGAGACTCGACCGGTTGAGCGATTGGAGTCGAAACCCAAAGCCTCCAAGGTGGATGCTGACAGGACTGGCTTTCTTTGCTCTTGCCTCGGAATCCTGGCGGGCCATGCGGGCTAGCAAATGTTCATTCCTAGAAGAAGACCTTCTTTGAGATCTCTCGGTTTCAGAGGCGTAAAGAAAAGGGAAGAGTGTGAGTGAAGCAGACGCGACGCAAATCCACACACACACACACGCGCGCACACATACGAACTAGGTGAATACACCGAGTACCTGTGCACGTAAAACGAGCATAGGACATAAAGCGAGCGTATCCTCAGTTTATTCTAGTCCTGCGGGCATGATCATACACAACACAACCATACCAACCCACACGCACGCGCACACAGACACGGACACAGACACAAACACACACACACACATGCACACACACACACACCCACAGACGCCCACCCACCCACCCACCCACCCACCCACCCACACACACACACACGCACACACAGAAAGACACACGTTGCACACACAACAAAACACAACACACACCAACCCATTTGTGCACCAACCTATATGTCTGCGTGTTTATCTATGTATGAAAAATTCGACCAAATAGGAGATACCGAAGGCAAGCTGAATGCACGTCCCCCCGCCAAGGCACAGGAAGGACCCAGGGTGCACCTGCCATGCGCGGGCCTTGTTCGGCAAAGCTTTTCTTCGCGGTACAGGCTTGCAACGTGGTGAGCCGCAGCAGCGGGACTCAAGTTGTATCGACTGGGGATGGAAGCTTGGTATCTCAACCCCCAAGCAGTGCTCACTTGACCTGCGCATCTTTGTTATGTGGTTGTTTTGCTGTAGCATGACAGCCGAACTGCTCTCGAAGTCAAGTTGACTAGAAATCCGTACAGCAGCCGATCCAGGGCCCTGTCACGACATCTACCTTTGCGGATAAGCCAGCTGTCGGCTGGGTCCTGCTGGCATGCTTTCTTGGGCATTGCGGATAGTTTAAGGTAGTTTTTCTTTATGCATTTCTTCCTAAGACTCTGCGCCCCAAACGACAGTAATGTAAGCTAAAGTGTGACAGCAAACTAAGTTAATTAATCCCCTCGCCCTGGTCGACTGAAAGATTGAGGCCGCTTTGCTTTCTGCGAGATTTTAAGAGATTCTATGATACGTCAAGTTATACATACATACATACATACATACACACACATATGTATATATATATATTGTACATATGTATGTGTATATACATACATATATATATATAGAGAGAGTGTGTGTATATATATAATATGTTTGCACATATCGAGGATAGCCCCCAAGACCGGTTAATGGCCTTGCCTGGACCTCATTTCTTGTCTTATGAGATGCTCGGAGAAGGTTCACGACAACAGACTATGCCAGGCGAACCGAGCCGCACACCTGGCGCCAGGCCGGGATTCTACAGTCGTTTCGTGAAGAGGGTTGAGGCATAAGATTCAGGGCCTAGAATTTAGGATTATTAAGGGGCTGCGCAGGGGTTGACAAATCTCTAATAGGGTAATTGCTCAGCCCTCATGTAAACACATGCATTCCTTCGGAAAAGCCAGAGGAGCTGCAAGCATGCTGCGTTAGCCACACCAAGGCCACCAACCAAAGTGCCCCCACCGACAGGGCATGGTCAATGCCAGGAAGGGTTGGACTCAGACGGATACAAAAGGTTCTCCCGATGGCATGTTGTTTTTCAGGCGACTGCTCATCGAAGAGGCTGGTGCGACCGGGCGAACATTGTTTGAGTACAGCACGCTTGCTAGCACTTTGAGAAAAGGGCAAGTTCTCAGAGATGCGTTCCTCCCGAATCATGGCCCACAAGAAACACATGGCCACCCGAGCGACATTCTGCAGCAAGCAGGGTTTGGCGCTAGGGCTTACGGTTTATGGTGTAGGGTTCCACAAAGGGTTCGAGGTACGGTTGCTGCTATAAATCCTGGTCGCCCATAATAAGGGATACCCCATAATTCCCATAGTTTAGGGTCCTTAGGGTAATGCAGGATTTATATCATCAACAGTATTTCGTTCCTTCGAAACGGCAGGTCTGGCAGCCTCTCAAGCGCACGTTGTTTGCGGAGTGTGGCGGCCCCAGTGTGGAGCTGACACGCTCCTTAATAAGAATAATAAGAAGAAGAATAATAATGATAATTGCAATAACAGTAGTAACAGTTAGTAATAATCATAATACTAACGGTAATGACAACTGTAGGGCCTTTTGGAGACTCTCCGCATATCAAACTACTTGAAAGCTCAGGGGTCGTCTTGAGTAAGCTCATGTGCGTCTTAGTAACTCTACACGTGCTTTACCGGTAGCCCTGCCTGTGAGTCCGAAGGTCGTCCAAGTCCGGTTCTACATCGTTTTACGGCATCCTCGTATCTTGGATCTGTCAAGAAACTTTGCAAGCGGTCCGACGAACCTTAGCACAACAACTCTCCTTCTGGGCCCAGTGTTTGCGTGACAAGGTTCGCTTCCGCCCAGCTCACGCAGCGTCTGGGGCTCGCAGTCTATGCCACAAGGGGTGGAGGTAAAAGCATGGCCGAGCGTTTTAAACGATGGCGTATCGGCCCTAAGCCCTATAAACCCTATAAACCCTTATACGGGACTTGCTTGCACCCTGTCTGCACCTGTCTAGAGTTCAGACAATTCCCTGCTGCGCGACTCGGTCAGCTGCGGATGGGCTCAAAGCTAGTATACTATAACATACTATGATATACTATAGTAAAAAATAATGTACATGATATACTATTACATGCTATGATCTACGAACGAAGTGTACAAGCTTCACGGGTCGTGGAGGATCCAGGAATCTCGGGCCTGGCTGGCTTGGCAAGCGTGGATACTTTGGGGTTTAGGGTTTAGGGCACCGTAGCATCATTGGCATTTCTCCTGCTTTCGGAATGTACTCAGTCAATACGAGGGACTTGTTGCGGCTTGCTTCTGTCGTGCCCCCGAGTCGCGAACTCAGGAGGCCTCGCATCTTTGCGGAACGCCCGCAGCCGAGGCGGGAGTTGTAAGTTTCGGGAGGGCCGGAGTTGTTCTTGGTGGCTATGTGCCTGGAGTTTGGGCTGTTTTTCGGTTACGAGTCGTTTCGCTTTGTGCTTTCGGAACTTGGCTTACGGCGTCTACGCCGCAGCTTTGAGATTCATTGGACTTTACCCACGGTTTGTAAAGTTTGCATATGGAGGCCAAGCTGCTCAGAATTGCATTGGTTCGATATGGTAGCTAGGAATGCTAAGATTGCTACACCCGAAGTCCAGGACCCGAGGCTTTCATAGACCTGGCCCAGTGGCTTTTCGTGTGTACTGCTTTGAGGCTCCACGGGCATGACTGTTGGAGTCTCGGTTCTGAAGCTGCCAGGGTTCTCGGTGTTCTCAGTGGCCTGGAAAAAGAGGATGCTGGGCATGCCACCTGTTGAACAAGCTATACAAGCTACAGCCTTCGGGTATGAGTCACAGTCTGTGCCAGTAAAGTTGGAGCGGGCGCTTGCTGATGCTGAGGCCACCGCCGTCGCGGAGCCAGTCGTTTCACAGAGGCTCTGGGTGATGGAGTCTAAATGCCATGTAGGAGGTGGCTGTTGGCGCCAGAGGAAGGCGAAACAGAAGCGGCTGTGACGGTGCGTAAGCCCCAAACATGTGATGCCTTTATCCATGGCCTCTTGAGCTGATGTCTAGGTGCAAGTGTCAAAACGACCCAAGCTGCTCGTCCTGAGTGTAGGCAGCCTCTCTTGTTGTTTTGGTTGAGACTCCCATGAAGATGACAGGAGTCGGCGTGTCAAAGCTGTGCAGGTGCGGCAGGGCAGTCCCGCGGGGTGTCTCTTTCGTCCGTCCTCGCCCGTGCCGTCTTTCAGCTTTGCTGGCAAACTCCCTCCGAGTCCGCGTGCAGGTCTCCGACGAGAGTTCTGGACGGAGCCTCAGAGAAGGGCTTGCTTTTGGTACAGGCTTCGTCACAAACCCATGATCAAACCCCCCCTGCAGGTTGCTGTGTGTGAAGTTGCAGTGACATTCAAGCGCACCGCAATGAATGCCAGGCTCAGATCGGCCCTGGAGAAAAGAGGCAGCTGCCGAAGGAAGTCTTTTAAACTTCTTGACAACCTTTATAATTTATAGGTCTTACATCGGCGATCATCTGCCGGCATGATCGTGCAGTGGTTGGACTGGTTCTCATTGGCTGGCTCGTTCGTCTTGAACTAGGCGGCTCTTTCTGTGTGGCTGCGCCTCATGAGAAGCCGGATCGATCTCTCGTGGCCTTTCTTGATCTCTGTATTGCACGCCTGCCAGCGCTTGCCCATCTCGGAGATTCTCCCAGATATTATGGATGCCTTCCAGACGGACCAGGACATAGTGCTCCAGGCTGGGCTTGCAGCCTGTTCAGGAGCTGTCGAAAGAATCTGCACTTCCGCCTTTCGTGATGCCTATCCATGCATTTATCCATCGATCCATCCATCTTTCCATCTAGCTATCTATCTCCCTATCTCCCTGTCCATTGTCGAATCCAATCTGACCCAGTCAGATCTGGTCAAAACCCCAATCTGCCCTTGCCTTACCTTATCTAGCAATTGTGTCATCTCGTCGCAAATGTATCTCTTCATCCGTCTATCAGTGTCTATGTATCTGTCCATCTATCTATCTATCTATCGATCTGTCTATCTATCCATCTATCTATCGATCTATCTATCTATCTATCTATCTACCCATCTACCCATCTACCGATCAAGCGACCTCTCTACCTGTCTGTCTATCTATCTATCTAACTATCTATCTATCGATCTATCTATCTATCTATCGATGTATGATTGTATCTATCGGTCTATCTATCTATCTACCTATCTATCTATTTATCTTCTTGTCTATCTATCTATCTATCTATCTATCTATCTATGTGTCTGTCCGTCTGTCTATCTGCTCTATCTATCCGTATCTATCTGTATCTATCTACCAATCTATTATCTATCTGTTTATCTGTCTATCTATCTGTCTATCTGTCTATATCTACCTACCTACCTACCTACCTACCTATCTATCTCTCTATCTATCTATCTACCTACTTAATCTGAACCTGAAACTGCATCGAGATCCGGATCCATTTGCCTCTGTACCTCCCTATCGATCAGTTTTTCTAGCTGAAGGTCTATCGGTCTGCCCACACATCTGCCTATCTGTCTGGCAGTGATTCACTCAATCTACCCCTTTTCCTGGCTCTCCAACTATATGTCTCTATATGGTTAACCGTCTATATCTGAATCTTTCTTTTCATATGCAGACATTTGCCAAACAAGCAGATAGATGGATGGATGGGTAGATAGACAGGAAGGTACGAAGCAAGAAAGAACCCAGAGAGAAATAAAGATAGGTGGGTGGGTAGGTAGGTAAGTAGATGGAAAGCAGCGATCATGGTTTTGTGCAGTTCATGTGACCCTGTGCAGGCGCCGACCGGCGCGGGCAAGACAACCATCGTGCCCCTGGCACTGCTAGAGGGTGGCCATGTGGATGGCAAGGCACAACAGCCCGAACTCAAAAAGCATCATAAATCACGACATTTCAACATGATATGATATGACATGATCTGCCATGACATGATATCAAGAAGGATGACACATAACATATATAACAACCATGCATTAGTGTATTTTTATGAACGCAGGTGATCGTCCTCCAGCCCCGGCGAATAACAGCCCTGAGTGTTGCCAAGCTGGGAGCCGAGATTGAAGGGAACATGACAACACCTTGCCTGCAGTTTTTACGACGATGAAACTGAGAGGTTTAGGGGTTCAGGGTTTTTTGGGGGTTAGAAGGTTTAGGGTTTATAGGGTTAGGGTGCGATTCATGTGGTGCATGCGCCTCGTATATTAGATCCGGGAAATGGTAGCATGCGTTCCCTTGCAGTACTTCCCGCAACCTTTCTAGACGGACACGAGAGACCAGTCACCCGACAGCTGTCTTTATATAGAGGGCTAGGAACATGCGAGCTAGCCCAAATCGCCGCAGCGAAACGAGCCAGAACCCCTCAACGCGAACCTCGGCACTAGGTTGTTGAGGGGGGGGGGGGACATGGTAAGATTCGTTAGTGAATGCATGCGAATGCTAAGTGCCTTCCAGTCGTTGGTCTACACTGGCTGCACGTTGCTCCACTGTTGAGCATGACACCCTCCTGGCCCGTCGATTTATTTGTGAAGGGACACAACACAACGAGCAGTTTCGTTCTCTGCGGCGGCCACTTCCCATAATTCTGAGGCGCATGGCGGACCTTTGGGGCGAACCCGTCGGAGAGACTGTAGGACTGTAGGTTCCCGGAACTGAAAATAGCTTTGGCGAGGAGGTTCGCATGGAAGAGCTGTTGCAGAAGTACGGAGCTCTCTTGACAAGTCTTTCTTGCACAGTTTGCGTTTCAGTCATGAAGAGCACAGGATACCGCATCCGTCACGAGTCAGTGGTCTCCAACCGGACGCGGATAGAGGCCCCGGGTGCGCCATGGGTAGGTCAGTAGGGATGCATACTGTACGAGCTCAGGGGAGGGAGGGGGGGGGGCAGGACTGTCCCAAAATTGAACAAAAAATAATCACAATCAGAATAAACAATCAGAAGAATAATCATAATAATGGTGGTAACAGCTACAATTGCTGAGCATTCAAAGCTCTGATCGCCGCAGGTCGTAACCGAAGGAGTGCTCGTTCGAATGCTCAACGGCAACCCCACGCTGGAAGGCGAGGGTTGCTGTGGGGTCAGGGTTGACTTGGTAGTAGGGTAAAAAACTTGTCACTTTTGTGGTGGTTACAAAAATCCTTTTTTTTCTTCCCAAAGGTTATAACCTAGCTTGATCCTGGACAAGTAGGCTGAGCTTTGGAGCCATGTAAGCCATTGCATCGTGCGATGTGGTCAAGCCACACTGGCAGGTATTAGTTGCATCTTCTTCGACGAGTTTCACGAACGTTCGGTGGATTCCGATCTAAGTTTCACGCTGCTGGGATGGATGCTGTGTCTTTACTGTTGTTGTGCAAGCTTGTCGAACAAGAGCCACCGAGGCTATGTCTTCATTTGAAGAGGCAGAGGTGCTTTGTTTTCGCAAGTCGTCAGCCTTTCCTGGGAGTTGAATGGTCTGTGGTGACTGTTGAGGCGCGTTCCTGTACGAATGGTCGTGATGAGTGCCACCTTCGGAGCGCTGGGAGAGAAGGCTGGTGCCCAGTGGTCCTCACATATTGTAGTATGCTACATTATGATACAGTATCGTATGACATAGTACAATGTAGTACAACATAATATGCACTTGTGATTTGTATTGTTGGTCATTGATCAAATGGCATAAAGCTTGTCTTCACTAGACGCTCCGGTGCACATCGCCAGGTTTCCAGTTTGCTGCAGAATAGCCGCCAGATCATCAGCAAAGGGAGGCCGGTTCTTCTGCTGCTTGCAGTATCCACGGTCTCTCTCTGGCTTGATGTATGGACGCACCGAACGAACGAGTCCCCAAACTCTATACACCCTAAACATCCCTAAACCCTAAGCCTGAAGCCATCAGTCGCACTGCAGGGCTTACCCCGTCGCGGTGAACTACTGTGGCGTTTTGAACCTGCGGAACTGGGAGCCTCGAGGCTCTTCCGACCACGGGCTGCGGCTCATACTATCCTATAGTAGAGTTATAACATGTATACTATATATATATATATTATGGTATATTATAGCATAATGTAGTATAATACAGCATAACACGGCAATGCTCAGGGGATTCCAATGGAGGCAACAGGTTTTTCCAAGCGACATTGAGAGACTTCTTATCTGCGCACGTTTGAATTGCATTTCTGCATGCTCGATGCCGAAGGAGAGGTGGAGAGCTTGCACACACGGTTTAGGGTTTAGGGTTTAGCCAAGCATCCTTCAATTCGACCATGCCAGGCCCCAGGGACTTCGCAAATACCGTTGCCAAGCAAATCAAGATCGCGTTGGATGCGGGCACCTTAGTCCGACGAGACGATGGCTGGGCGATGATTAAATCATGAGTTCACCGAGGAGCACGAGGGGGATGCTCTCGTTTTCGTTCCCGGCGAACGAGAGATAATGCGCCCTGCGCTCGTAGGGCACTGGCCGTTGCACCAAGTGCTGTCCGCAGCTACCGGAAACGCAGGTACGTTTGGATCGCCCTGAACAACATGGGCGTGTTTCTGGCACGAGTTGTTCAATGCTTTCTTGCTGTAGGACTCCTTCCAGTTATAAGTCAGTCCAAGTCCCACGGACAGGACTTGCGGTAACTAAGCTGCCCATCTGCAGAGGTAACTCCCCACACCCGAAACCCTGAAGCGCCAAACCTCTACGACCCTTGTGACTGGGAAAAGTTCACACAAAACCATTTAATCATCAAGCTGCGACCAACTCTCGGAATGTGCCAGACAAGACGCTCAGACTTGTCCGGAAACCCGTAGAAACTATTCCAAAAGGTCCGCAAAGCCAAACAAACACCCAACCTCGTAACACTCCTGAATTTGCTGTTATGACTTTCATCTGATGTTCCACACTTTTTGTAGCTAGTATCAGATTCCTTCTGTTCGGCATGTGACCGTGGCAGATCGGTGATGGACAGCGGCCCAAAAACTTGGTGCCCTGGGCCGCTTGGACATCACAAGCGGGGTGTAGTTGAGTTTTAGGTTCAGCACCAAGATCTTACAGCTTAACCGGGTCCAGGGTTTTCGGATTCGGGCTTCATGCTGGCGGATATCTAGTTTCTGTCGGTAGTGCTCGAGCGTCGCCGCAACTAGAGTTTGTAAGGAGTTTGCAGTTCAGGCCTTGAGTCAGTGAGCCTTTCGATTCAAGGCAAATTTGAGATGATGACTTCAAGCAAGATCACCTTTAGTCCTACAGCCGAAAAGGCTGCGCCCACTTAGACAAAAGTTGAGGCTTCAGGGGGCTTGAAGAGGCTTTGAAGCTTTCGGGTCCAGGGACCCTAAACCTTAAAGAACTCAAGGATTGTCGGGTTTTCTACGTGGCGTTTTGCCCGGGGTCGGCGCGTAAAGAGGGGCTGGGCTTTCACGGGACGTGGCTCAAGGAGACAGGGCTTATTGAACTGCAAAGCCTAATATAAATAATATATATATATATATTATATATATACATACATACATACGGCTATTATCGATTATTACTACCAATACCAATACTAATGTTCATATAAAGCTTAGTCACTTAGTACTAATCTGGGTACTCTCAAGCTTCAACCTCCTAGGGACTTGCCTCGCTGGTCGATCGTCGTGGGGCTTTGCTGGCCACCTGCGTTCTCGTGCATGGGCTTAGGGTTTAGGGGGGTTGGGGGCTTTCAAAACTGGTGAACTTCAATTTTTAAGTTTTCGGGTCCAGAACCTCAGTTGCCGGGAAGGTACCATGGAAAAGCAACCAGGTGAGGCGGCAGGACGGCCCCGAAATTGTGGGAGTCGGTCGTGGAAGCAATGTGAACAGCTGCTTCATAAGGATAGATGATGATGTTAGTTAAGGTGCAGCTACTACATGTGATTACGGACCGGTTTGCTCTACATGTCAGCTTCCTCGCGCAAAAGGGTAGCCAGCGCCCGTCTTGACCAATCAATCTTAGCATTACGAAACCTTGTGTGTTCAGTCGATACCTTTATGGTGTCACCAGGCTCAGTTTAGTCTGTGGGTCAGAAGTGATCCGTCACAGTATTCTACATACGCCCCGAGACCCGATCGGACCCTGTCTTGCCCTGTGCCAAGGCTCATCGTCTCATTGATGATTCCAAGTTGGATTTGAGCAAGAAAATCCAGGCTTCTGGCTTGGTATCTGCTCCCAGGGTAGGGGCCTAGTAGGGCCTATAGGGGTGAGCTCCACTTCCCGAAGCCGAAGGTGAGCCCACTCTATGGCACCATGGAGACGCATGAGCAGGAGAGCCAGCTCTGCTGCCTGTGGTTGCAGATGGTTTTGCACGAAGCTGCGGCTTGGGACTTGTTTCGAGATCCATATATCTCGGCCCAAAGGACGCAGTCATCACTGACTCTGGCGACGGCTGGCGAAAGGCCCATGCCCACATTTGGAAGCTGAGCAGTGGAATTGACGTGCATGCGCAAGAGAAGCAAATCTAACGACATGGTTGGGCAGCCAACTCGGAGCTCAACAATGCAAGCGCAGCAAGCACAGGTGATCCTGGCCACGTCCATTGCAGAGTCGTCAATCACAGTGTCGGGCGCTTTGTTCAGCGTTTGCATGTGAACTGAATCTCCCAAGTGAGAGCCCAGCACGGCCCGTAGAAATGGGCCACGCACAAAGCCCCAGTTCCCACCCCAAAGGCAGTCCCTGCACCGTTTCTTTCCTTTGACCTCTTGATATCCGCAGAGCTAAAACCTTGCAAAAGCGGACCTAACCCAAACCTGCCGAGTCCTGCAGTGTCCCTTCCGGGATATCTCCAGTCTACAAATTTTGACACGGCCCTTCGAAACCCCCAATGCCTTAAACCCTAAACCCTGCTTGCGCGAGTGTGTGTGTCTGTCCGTGTGTGTGTGTGTGTGTCGAAACTGCCCTAAACCCTAAACCCTAAACCTAAACCCTAGACCCTAAACCCCCAATGCCCCCGAGGCCCACGGTAAGGATCGTGGTGGACACCGGCCTGCGGCGAGTCAAGGCCTCCTCGGAAGCTCGGACCTGGGCCTTGCGTTGGATCCTGGCCCCAAAGCTTTGAAGGGAGGGGTTGAGTGAAAGTCATGTACGCTTGAAGCTTCTAGCTTTGTGAATGCGTATATGTGTCATACAGCATGTATAGTATGTGAGTGTGTGTATGTATATATATATATATACACATGCATATACGTGCTTTTTTGTTATCTGAACCTATAGCCCGGAACTGCCTTCCCCAATCAAGGCCTCGGGATTGAAAGATTCCAGACAGGGCTAGGAATGCCAACGCTGCTGCTGCTGTTGCTACCAAGAGGCCTCCTATTAACAGTTGAATCTTTCGCACAAGCCCATGCCCTAAAGCTCGACGTCGGAGCCGGAGGGGGGGGGCAGGGCGGACATTAAATGGGATCGGAGCAGCCTACCAATGCCCCCTACGTGTGTAGCTTTTTTGGAACCGTTACCAGCAACAAACATTAATGGACAGCTAGGCCCTCTAGTCATTCATTCAGAATAGGACAACGTTAACTTTCACCGGACTTGAAACTTGCACCCGCAAGACGACAACGACAACTACATTAAATCAACTGCTACCACCGTGCGATTGCTTGATTCTGTTTGCGACCGGGATCAATCCTTGCTTCGGGTACCCCTCATAGTTTGTGTTGGCTGTGCTAGCCTCATGTTGGAGACCGTTCTTGTGCAGCTAGTTCATAGCCTCGCTGTAGGAGGTTGGCCGGGAGTCCAGGCTTCTCCGACTGGCCTCTTGAACCCTCATTGAAGGATTTAGGCGATTTAGGGTTAAGTTTCAACCGCAACGACTTGGACCGCGCCGACTGCAGGCTCAAGGCCTGTTTTCATTTTATTCCATGAGCTCTACCGGTAGCAGGACTTCACAACCTCGCACGCGACGGCTGACTTGTGCCAGGCATGTGAGCATCCTGGGGGGGACGGGTTTGTGTGCAAAGAGGGAGCCTTTTTCCAAGCAAGCTGTTCGGGAAAAGCTCCTTGTCATCCCTCCATGATTGTAGTCATGCGTAGCATGTGCAGAAAGTAGCCGTGTGGAGTGTCAAGCAATCATGGTCCCTCTTCTTGTTGTCACCAGCGGTCTAATCACTGTCGTTGAAACTGTTGCTCGGATAAGCTGCGTTTCTGTTGCGTTAAACTTTATCTTGCAGGATACGCTTCTTATTGAAGCTACAAGTATCACTCGGACGACGGCCACCAAGTCACCAAGATGATCACCAGTGTGGCGAGGAACCGTCCCAGCTTCAATTTCTTACGCAACTTGGAGGTCGTATAGTAGCAGGTCGAAATCGTCCCATGGAGTCAGCCCGAGCACTTGTGGTCTGCTACACAGCATCAAAAAGACTCTCTCTACCTCAAATTCGAAGGTTTACACTGTGCCATAAGCTTACAAGCTATGTTGAATGCTGATCCCAGGTCCTCTAGACCCTGAAACCCTCAACCCCAAATTCAAAGCCCCTAAGCCCCGCCCAAAAACCCACTGGTTACCCCTAAACTGAAACCGTTTGGCAACCCTAAACCCTGAACCCCTATAGCCCTAAACCCTAAATATTAGCAGCTGCGGCCCCCGTCAGGGCATGATTCGGGCGCTGCTGGCCTGTGCTGGACCCAGGGGCTGAGACAGCTTGGCGCATTTTAGGGTTGAGGGTTGAGGGTTTAGCGTTGAGGGTTCAGGGTTTAGGGTTTAGGGTGGTTGAGGGTTAGGGTTGAGGGTTTAGGGTTTAGGATTGAGGGTTGAGGGTTTAGGGTTTGGGTCCTTTTTCCGAGGGGCCCTTGTCATACAGGGTCCTACTGTTTGGAGTCTGGGGTCTATGCTTAGGTCTCTTGGTTGGTGTCATGTGTATGGGTGGTGTCTCGGAGAATATTATCGGCACATTTATCGGGCCTTTTTTTGCCATAAGATCGTGGAAGCCACATGCACGGCCTGGATACCTGCACTCAGTTGTGAACACTTCTGTAGAGCAAGTATCATGAGCACTTCGGTGTGTAGGTCAATCCTCATGCATGGCGAGAGCCCAGGTGCTGCCTGGATCGTGGTATCTGCAAGTGACATTCAGGCACCTTGGTTCCTGTCAGAAGAGAACTTCCCGCTGCAAGATCAAACAGCTTTTCTTCTTACAGCATATCGACGAGAATTCACAGAAATTGCAGGCCTGCGAAAACCAGCAGGCTCACTCGAAGTCCCTTCTCCAGGCGTGGTGAAACTTTGGGGCTGTCCTTTGCTGCTGAAGCGCTCGAATTCTGTCGAAGAGTGTGTTGCGACTTCGCCCTGCCAGCCCATGGGAAGCCTTTTGCCTGTCTTTCTGCGACTTACTGCTCGATCATGGAGTGAAAGGCAACTCGCATCACGTGGAACGCAGGTGCATGGAACGGCGGAACTTGTTGCCCGCAATGATGCTCATCTGGATTAGCAGCATGATCAACAAAGCGTGATGGCCACATGTCCGATTGCCTACATTCCCAAGACAAGAACACAAGCTCATGCGCAGGGCTGCATCCGGAAGCCGCGTTGTCATTGTTGTGTGATCAAAGTCTTAGACTGTTCCCCAATGTCTGTAGAGGGTGAGAGGTCGTGTGGGGCATGGTCACGTCGTAGCTGGTTTCTTTGAGGACGACGAAGTCGGACTTTGTGTGGTGCAAGACGACTCCTGCTTCGACATGCAGCTGGACAGCAGCCCTCCTGCGTCGCGAAGTCACGCTTGCTGTCACAAATGCACAACAATTGCTGGCTAATTCTGTTCTTCCCATTTGTGCAGTTCGTGCAGGACAAGCGATGGCGTAATCCCTCTACGTCGGAGGTTCGCTGCCGTGTTGAGGGTTAGGGTTTGCGTTCTGGATCGTTCTGGGGATTTTGCAGCGCAGCAGAAGCCGAGCGAAACACCGTGGACCAGAAGAACTTACTGCGCATAGCTATCCCTTAACGTTAAGCCACTCGCAAGGTTTATCACGCTTGATTCGAGGTTTCCCTTAACTGAGCTCGTTGTATCTGTGCCCGACGTTCTTCTTGCTTGCCTTGTTTCTTGACCAGTTCCGTATGCAATGGCTGACGTTTGGTGAACTACAAAAGCCAATCTTTATAGTAGGGCAGGAAGCCTTTTCACCTTTTTGGGGTACCTGATCCCCATATAATCCCAAAGGTCAACCGTTTAACCTTTAGTTACTTTAGTTCCTCAGAACACTAGCAGGCAATTGTGGTGATTCGCAGATGTCTGCTGGAGACTAAAGCTCGAGCACATCCGGAGCCTCCAAACTGCTCAGGAGTTCAATTTCTCGCACGATGCTGTACAGCTCGTCGTCGCACGTCACGGTGAAGACCTCCGATGGCTGGATGCCCTGACGGGGCCCAAGTTCTGGTCAAAATATTTTATGTTAGATATACTTGTTTATGTATTATATACATATATGCGAAAATTCTTTAGTTTCTTTATAAGTTATATGACGTGTAAAGTGAGATTCAGTTTGTAGTAATAAGGTAGTGACAATGTCATCGCTGCTGCTGTTTATTCACGGCAGCAGCCATGCCTCTTCAACAACGGTGAGCAGTCTCCCCCACCTTGTTCTTCAAGCACCACCGTCCCATATGCAAGCAGTCAGGAGTTGGAGTTGAGACTGACGCTGTTAGTGTATTGTTCTTGTCGTTATCGGAGTTTTGTCGTCTACCTGTACTCTTTCTTCGTGAATTGACGTGCCTGCTGTGGCTGCATTTGCCTTCGCTACCTCTTTTCTTAAACACTGTAATATTGTTGAATATGGTTTGTACGTATATGCTCTATGTCTAAGTCCAAGGGCCACTGCCAACAGGCTCGCGGAATAGCGCCTTAAATCCAAAACCCATGTCATCCCTAAGCTCTAACGTTTGCATCAATTCATTGTCTTCTCCCGTGGCTTGTCATTGCATTGATTCGTAGTCTGGGCATGTATGCTTGGTGTGAATCCCTGCTTGAGGTAGTGTGCGAGGGTCGAAAACCCCAAAGCAAACTGAAGAAAAATCCTGATCCCGAAGCCTTTTGAGGCTGCGCTAAAGTGATGTCGCCTTTCGTAAGACAGCAGGATCCCTGAATCCAAGCTTGCTTGTGCTTGAGAAATTTAGCCCCAAACAGAGAGCTGACACCCTCAACTCATGTCAAGCTTGTCCGCAGTGCTCCAACAAGGCGTCAGCTCCCTGCAGTGGTGTACAATCGGGGTGGACCTGACAGCCTCTTTGCTGACGTTTATGGGGGGGGCCCCGTTCGATCCGGAGGAGAATTTAGAAAGTGGCTTTGCGGCGGAATTGATAAGGATGTCTGCACGTGTTGAGCATCAATGCAAATACATAGCTTTCATAACTGCGTTTGAATCGTTTGAACGGGGGAATACGTTTGGAAGCCAGCTTCGTCGTGCGTACGTGCGGCTTCGCAAATGGAGATGACTGCCTGCACTTTGGGTCTCACGGAGGTCTGCTTCCGGCAGCCAGGGAGAATTTGCAGATAGTCGTGGAGGAGAATACTGGGAGAGAGGACGAGGCCGACTGTTGTGTGGCCGTTGGACGGAGGTTTGCCTCGGAGTGTCTGCCAGAATTCCGAACATTTCTACTTTGTCCTGGCTGACCATTGCATTGTTGTCTTGCTTGCTTTGGATTTGCGACGTCATCCTACAAAGCATTTCCCGAATCATCTGATATGTGAAGCTGCGTTTCGACAGGTTTTCCTACACCACATCGTGGAGAACTATGACACTTTGCCACAGGTCCGCTTGACAGGGTTTAGGAGCCACCTGCCAGCGGAAACGCATGGTTTGCAACTTCGGGTAAGTGAACATGTTCTCATAATTCAATCATAGGTACTTTTGCATAGCGTTAGCAGAGTAAGCGCATCGGACTCTCGATGATATAGTGTACATACTATGCCACGATGAGGCAACAGTCAGTATAATGAGTATCTACGCTTTATCTCCAACCGGGTGTGGATCGGGTCACTGGCAGGTCACCATTTTCCTACAGGGCTG